TTCTTGCCATTGGATCTTGAAATTTCTAGCAAGCTAGAATCTCTAAAGAGCAACTCCATGACTATTTCTGTGTGGCCTCTTGTAGCTGCAGTTGTAAGAGGAGTTGAATTCGATTGACCAACTGTTTTACTTAGCTCTGGATCATGGTTGAGTAGCTCCTGGACAATAGCTGCATAAAGTTATCTTTTGACTTGAGTTTTGTGCACTAGTTTCTTCTTAAGAACAAAAAGAAGTCAAACAGAAAGCACTTTTAGTAGCTTCCTTTCCTCCACTTGTAGCCTATAGAACTAGCATGATAATTTTCCTTTCACATGCTTAAGCAACAGCATGCTTCAAAGTAGTTTCTTGTGCAATTGCTCTACATGTCTATCTTGACTTCAAATAAATAGCATAAGAAGAATGTAAATACAGGTGCTGATATCTAAAACAGTTTAGACCTTACAAATGTTCTTCACTATATTCGTTGAACCTTCTCTAGAATTAAGATTCATAACTTCCTTAAATCATTTCTGAGAGGATAATTCAAGCGACATTTGAACAGAAAAGAGAATGTGAAACAAGTCAGGTAGATATTCCATGCAATGTTGGATGGGGCAAAGAGAAGAAACTATGATATGCAACAGAAAAGCGACATTACCAAGGTGCCCTTGACTGACAGCAATATGCAACGGGTCAAACCCAGATTGATTCTTCAATTTAATAGCCTCCTTAGGCGTGTATTGTAACAATTCCTTCACAACACCTAAATGCCCCTTCTCTGCGGCGGTAAACAGCGCCGTCTCCCCCAACTCATTCACCTCGTTCACGACCGCTAACATTATCTCCGCCACCTTTCAATCAACACATACTCATGAATAATAAAAATATCAACGTCTGCGTTTTTTTTTTCTCAACCTTGAGATTGAACATAGAGAAAATAAGAAACAAGTATAAGGAAGAAAATCCACCTCTGCATCAAAATCAGCCCCACTTAGAGTGCCCGTCATCTGAGCATCAATGTCACTGAGGATCTGTCTAACGGCGTCCAAATCCCCGCGCTTGGCAGCCAAATGGAGCTCGGTGTCATTATGGCGGCCAGTAACCTGCTTCACGTACTTCTTCTTCCCGACCTGATCGATCCGCTTGCCGGAGTTGGACCCTCCAAGGGACTTACTAGAGTTGGATACAACCAGAGCCTTGCCGGAATTCGATAGAACCAGGGTCTTCCTCGGCGTTGACGCCGCCGTAGGAGATGGCATCGGCGATTGGTCCGCAATAGCGTTGGGGCTGTTGGCCGCCACCACCAGCCCCTTCTCCAGATCCATCTCGGCCCCTTTTCCCCATTCACCATGTTTTCAGAATAATTCGCATTACAAATCTATTGAACTGTTAATAAAATGCAGCTTAGATCCTTCAGATCTTATCCTCTTTTTAATTGCCATCAAAGAAACAATGCATGATACAAATTGACCACATCACAACGCCTTTTTATTCATCGTTTTCTTTTTCTCAGAAATTCTCAGCAATCAAACAGAAGATTGATCAATTAACATGAAACATAAAGGAGAATATGAGAGAGGGAGAGAACGGAATGTACCTTCGCGGAATACAGGCCCCATTCGGAGAAGACAACAATGGCGATCACTATGGATCCATTGATAATTACTGTTACCTGTATGAGTTCGGATTGACAGGGAAAGGAGAAGAGAAATGGAGGAGAGATGATTAAGCGGGAGGGTAGTTTGGATATTAATTAAAGAAAAAAATAATAAATAATAAAAATAAAAATAATAAAAATAAATAAAGCCGCCAAGCCAAGTACTACGTTAACCAGCTGGGCCTGGATGGAATCGTTTCTTGATGTGTTGTTGGCCATGGAGTGGTGTTTGTTATGGAGGTTGGGTTTTATAATGTCAATGGTATGTTTGGCATGTCAGAAATTTTTTAGGATAACTTTTTAAAAGGAAATAAAACCACTATTTCTCTTTAATTAGCTTCTTTAATTTAAATTGAGGATTTATATTTAAAAAGAAAAAAAGAAAATTTGGAATAAATTTGATTTTGAAAACTACTTTTAATTTGCACACATTGCACTATGTGTTTGTGTTCTTATAACATGGAGCAACTAAAATTTAAGAACTTACAAATAAAATATTTTTATACTAAACACAATATAAGAGTTAACTACGATATTTATTAATATAGCTAAAAATACAAAGACAAATAATTGAGTTTGTCATCAAAATTAAACTTATTTTTAATACAACTTCGTAAATTTTTAACTTACATTTAATTTAATTGAGTATTCAATTGGACTTGAATTCATTTACAATATGTTAAAATTAATAACTAAAGGCAAATATTCGACTCCTAATTTCTTCGTCTTCTTTTTATAGGCCGTAAAATTTTATCTCTTAATTAATAAATCTATTGACACGTTATTGATAACCAAATCTAATAAAATGACACTAGTAGTAAGCATCGAGTAAGTTTTAATGTTGTGACTATAGATACCATAATTAAAGCAAACAAGGTGAAGCCCCTCATATTCAACATAGAAATGTATTTTATTTATCTAGAATTTTTTATATAACTATTTTCATTAAATCAAGTTCAATGCATAGGGTTAGAACTTGCCGCTATTATCAACACCTTGAAAACCTGGCGTCACTACTTGCATGGGGACTTTTGAGATTTATACAGACCATAAGAGCTTGAAGTATATATTCACCCATAAATATCTCAACATGCGTTAGAGGCATTGGATAGACCTTCTCAAGAATTACGATTGTAAGATCTTGTATCACCCAAATAATGGCAATGTGGTAGCCGATGTATTCAGTAGAAAAAATGCAGGTATGTTGGCTCACTTAATGGTTTCTGAATGCATGGTAATAGGGGCTACACAACAGATACAACTTTAGAATTTAAAAAATGCTACATGTCTAGCCTATATAGTTGTTCAACTCGAATGATTCAAAGAATAAAGGAAGCTCAATTGATTGATTCTATCCTAGCAGCTCTCAGAAGTGATGCAGAATAGGGTATAAATCTATAATTCTGAGTCTCTGCCGGTGAGTTGCTCAAGTTCCAAGATAGGATATGTGTCTCAGATGACAATGAACTAAAAAAGGATATTATGACAAATGCCCATAGTTCAAAATTCACCATGTATCCCGGAAGTATTAAGATGTATCAAAACACGCGATTCCATTATGGGAATAAAAAAAAATTATCGATTTCGTCTCCAAGTGCCTTATATGTCAGCAAGTTAAGGCATATTATCAACGCTCAAGCAGGTTACTTTAGCCTTTACCAATCCCGGAGTAGAAATAGAAACATATCACTATGGATTTTGTAACAAAGTTGTTTAAGGCACACTCGAGGCATGATGACATCTGGGTAATTGTTGATTGACTCATCAAGTCTTCTCATTTACTTGCCATCAGAATAACCGACTTTTTAGACAAACTAGCAAAAATTTATATCCATGAGATAATCAGGCTCATGAAGTTCCGGTGACAGTAGTATCTGACATAGACTCCAGGTTCACTTCTCGTTTTTGGTCAAGTTTTCAGCAAGTAATGGGAACGAAACTGTCTCTCAGTACAATATTCTACTCTCAAATAGATACACAGTCATAACGAATAATTCGTACACTAAAGGATATGTTTAGAGCTTGTGTTTTGGACTTCAGAGGGTATTGGGACGATCACCTGCCTCTGATAGAATTCACCTACAATAATAGTTACTAAGCAAGTATTGGCATTGTATGGCTGTCCCTATAGGTCGCGATCTGTTGGGAAGAGGTGAATGATAGAAAATTAGGCTAGACCTTGTAGAGAATACCACAACTAAGATAGTTAGAATCAGGAAGAAATTTATACAGCTCAGAGTAGGTAGAAGAGTTATGCGGACACCTGAATGAGAGATTTAGAATTTGAGAAGGCCAATAAGATGTTTCTTAAGTCTACCCCCTTTAAGGGTATCAGCAGATTTGGAAAGAGAAAAAAATTAATTCCCTAGTTCATTAGATTGTTTGAGATCCAAACATGGTTGGTATGTCCATCTACAGACTAGCACTACCTTCGAAGCTATCTAGAGTCCATAATGTATTCCATGTGCCTATGTTATGCAAGTACAACTCAGACCCCTCGCATATCCTGTTTCATGAATCACTTTCACTCTTGGAGGATTTATCATATGAGGTACTAGTAGGTATTTAGTATTGAAAGAGCAGAATATTTCGTAATAGAGAAATTTCTTTCGTCAAGGTCTTATGGTAGAATCACGCGAAGGACGAGGCCACTTAGGAGATAGAATCGAACTTCAAAGCCCAGTACCCCTAACTATTTGACTAGAGAGGGGGCGGCAAATTTGAGGGACTAAATTTTTCTTAAGGGGGAGAGTTGTAACACCCATATCTAAAATTTGGTCTGGGATAATTTGATATTAATGAAAAAATGTATTAAAAATAATTTTATTGTTATGAAATTTTATGGATAATATGGATTTAGGGATGAGTTTGAAATTAATTTTGAAAAAATGAGATGAAACTGTAAATAAAAGGGATGTGTTTGAAAGAGAAATTTAAAACAGGGGGTTAAATTACAAAAATATAAAATACAGCCACGTCAGCAGTAACAGCGAGTTAGAACATATCGCGTGGTGGACACGCTGACATCGGTTCCACGCGGGCGATCTGCATGTCAGTGGATCTAACGGCTCAGATTGCATCCCACGCGCACAGACGACCTAGATGCGTTTCCTCTTCAAGCGCGATTGAACGATTGGATTTAATCAAATCGTGTGGTCCAAATTAATTCTTCAAATAAGAGAAATCCAATGACTGCGGATGGGCCACGTCACCTCGAACGAGCGGCCCAAATCTATGAAGATGAGTATTTAAACTCTCCTTCATAGGGAACTAAAACGCTAACCGACAGAAAAGTGATCGGAGAAGAAGAAGAGGGTTAGCCGGGAAGTGAATCAAACACTAGAGAAGGAGACCAGCCACTGTTGCTACCGCACTAGAGTCACTGTCGATGCCAAAAAGGTAAAAGTTTCCTCTTTTTCTCTTGGAATTTAATCTCGAACCTCCCTATGCCTATATCGGAGCTGAAAGGTTGATGGTGAGCCAGAAAACACAGGCGGAGCTTGGCTGAGCTGCTGCAGTTGAAACCCGAAAACTCCTCCGATAAACCCCTTTCCATTTTCTGTTTTCCTCGATTTTCTTACCATCGTGATCCTCATTTCCTTATGGTGCAGGTTAGTAGAAGAAACACCCTGATCGCAAAGGAGGAACGGTAGAGTCGCCGCACCCAAAGGCCCTTTCGCCGGTAGGGTCTCGGTTTTTCCCTTTTCCGGCCAATAGAGGCCCTCATAACTTTGTTTTTCACAGGTTTTCATACAAAATCAGTCAAAATCTGCCAAAAATAGCCTGGCCAAGTGGAACCACCGCCGTGGACGGCGAAGCCGGCGCCCAAGCACAGCGGCGGCGCTGTGCTGGAACCCTAAATTAGCCGAAAATTTTCAAAAACACTTATTTTGGCCTTTTTTGGGGTATTTTTGAATATGTGACGCGTATTTTTTATTTTCACAAGAAAAATTTATAAAACCCGAGAACCACCAAGAGGCGTAGTGAAAAGTATAGTGTTTCAGATTCTAGTTCGGAGAATATCCCTCACTCCTTTCCCCATTATGGTAAATTAAAGTTTAATAATCAATAATATTGTGTTTTGTAAAAATTAGAAAACTTTAAAATTAATTACAGGTCACTAATGGAGTCGGTAACTGGTTAGTACAAAATTAATTATTTGTCGATATTGTTTATCTATTGATATATTTGTTAGTTTGTCTCGTGCACTTTTATTTAAAGATTTATTGTCCTCTCGTTATTGATTGCCTAACTGTTCTCTTATTTGTCGATTGAGTGAAATAAATGTTCTAATTATGTTTTCTTAATTTACGTATTGTATATTTGCATGATTTACTATTGATTGATAAAAATGAGATGTTGGTATGTAATTGGTGATTAGTTAATAGTGTGAGTCCATGTATGAAAGGTTTATCGGGTACCCTGGGGAAGGGTGTACGGACCTGATATATAGGAAACATCCTACCATGGGCATTACCTTAGCCGAACGGGGCTGAAAAGTCCTGTACCGGAAGGGGTTGAGAGTTATAATTTACCCTCATATTGGACAGAGTATTAAGATGGTGGTATGTTTGACGCTCATTATTGGACGAGGTATTGGAACGACCGATTAATTGATAACTTAGATATTAGGTCCCACGCATAAAGTGGATCCCTATGGACCCCCAGATGTGCTAGTAAGCAAGTAAGAAGGTAAGTTATTGTTATTACTCATTTGAATATGAAATAATATTATTATTTGAGTTATTATCTTTTTACATCGATTTTGAAAACTCATAAGGATAAATATGAAATAGTAGTTTTTAAGTTAAACTAATTTATTTAAAAAATAATAATGGCTCTATTGGTTGTTTAACAATTTTTACCAACATTTAGTTTTTTGTGTCGGTGTTAAGCGTGATATTCTTAATGGGTTAGTGTAGTTCATCCCCCTTATTTAACTATTTCAAATCAGGAAGAGTAAGATTCAAATCATGAACAGTAAGAAAGTTGTGAATAAAAGCTGCCTCCCGAATCCTATCAGAGTTGCTCAGCGGAGGTTAACCTTATAGGATTTTTAGTTACATTTTATTTTATTTACTTATTTCGTTATTTGAAC